ACACTTGTTCCCTCGTTCGCATGCGCAAGATCTTCTCTTTGGCCCGTGCTGTAGTTTGTAATGCCGTGAAATCCCTTTCCTTGGTTTCCATAAACTGGCGATGGCGACGACGGTGCCAACTGGCCTGGGACAAATTGACGAATTGCTGGAGCGCCGTTAATATTGCCCACCTCACTGCCGTTCGTTGTGGAAACGCCGATTCTCCCATATTCCTGCGCAGCACCTGTCCCGTCCATTTTCTGGGCCCAGGTTCCTGATTTTTTTAGGATGGAGTTTTGAGGGCGAAAGACTGGTTCCTTCAACCCCGCCAGTTGACGTGGATCATAATGTTGCATCGCTCTTCCTTAAACAAATCCCCCACCTTCGTTCACGGGATACAAAAATAATAAATAATAAATAATAATAAAATAAAAAGACAAAAAGTTACCTCGACTTCAAAGTGGGGTTCAGCAAAGAAAAATAAATAAATAAAATAAATAATACGCGTGCGTATAGTAGTGAGAACATCAGTGCGCCCCTTCCCCCCCCCCCCCCCCCCACTCAAACACTCAACGAGAGGGAAACACACACACACACACACACACACACACAAACAAACAAACACATAATTCAAGCTCCAAATCAAAAGGAGCGCATTTACAGGGGGGAAGAGGGGGAGGGCAATTCAAATGGATGGAATATGGAAAAAAGATAAGTCTGGAGACAGGTGCATGAAATAACCATCCAAAACAAATAACAATAATAATAAATAAATAAACAATTATTATTATTATTATTATTATAGATATAAGGAATTGCACACGCTTTTCCCAGAACAGAGGACAATGGATGAAAAGTAGCACACAATGGAGGACTTTCCTAAGAAATTCATACACATAAAAAGAAAGTCAGATTTGTAGAATTAAAAAAAATAATAATAATAATAGAAAAAAGAAATACATGCCAGAAAGGAAAATAGCCCAAAAATAAATTAAGAAAAATTAGGAGAGCAAGAAAGAAAGAAAAAAGAAAAAAAAAAAAAGACAAATCCCTCCTAAATTCCTCTCGTTCTACTTTTGTACTTCTCATGCCATGCGTCATTCTGAGAATATATATATATATATATATGAAAGGGGATTTTAAAAAACCAATAAAATGAAGAAAAAAAAAAAAAGCAACAATTTTTTTTTTGTTTTGTTTTCGAATGACCCCAAAACGCTGAAGGAAGGGTCTGTGTACTTATTTATTTATGTAAACTGTCCCAAACTTGAGCATCCTCCTTCATGTAGTGGATTTCCCTTTTCACGTAAACCTCCTGAGTCCGTTTAGCACGCATAAAACGCACACACACACACACACAAAAAAAAAAAAAAGCCCTTGCGTGCTTATTATCGGCTCCACCAGAGAAGTCCTCACAATAAGGAGAAAGGGGGTGCGTCACTACGGTTGACAACCTTGCTCTTTCATTCTCTCACTGTTGCTCTCTTTCTTATCCTCCGCACGGCTTCCCATAAACACGTCGCCGTCGGCATAGACAGGAAGATCAAATTGGCCCATCACAAACACGTTCTGGCGATTAACCGAAAAAGGCAGTCCCGGACCGGGTCCTGGAATCACACTGGGGTCTGGTACCTGCATGTAGATCCCCATGTTACCCCACCTGCCGCCGGACCAAATCGCAGGCTCAAGATGGCTCGCCAAACCGCCGTATGTGTTCGCCCCCCGTTCTGCCCCGCCCCGAGAAGCAGCTATGTAGCTGTTTTCAACGTTCCTGTGCGGGCCGCTGGCCTTCGCCCCGTTAGACTCAGGTCCATCATCGCGTTCCGCCACTTCACCATAATGCTCCTTCAATACCCCACACCCCTCGAGGTCCGCAAGCAATGAAGTAAGGGAAATATCACGAGAACGCGCTTCACGCAATGGGCTATTCTGGCTTGATCCCATGGAATACGCGCCGCTCACGCAAGATAATCTTCCCCCTGTCGGTGGCGCCGATCGATTCGAGTCCTGGCGCATGTTGCAAGATTGCATGTGCATAGATTTATCTTCTTCTGTAATCGGACTGGAAAGTGACCCTTTGCTGTAAATCGTTGGTTCAGGCGGGCACACGTCATCCACACACATTTCTCCAGGCAGTTGCACCGAAATATCGCTGGGGGAAAATCCATATTCATACTGCGGTCCGGGCGACAAGCACGAAACAGTTCCTTCCTGGCAAATCCCTGGCGTGGAAACCTGATACATGCTTTGATAGATTACCAACTTTGTATTGCTATAATGCCTTCTTCCCTATTTTCTGCAAAGCGTCACCTGTTGGTTTATGTTACCTCAAACTTCTCCAGCACACAATAACTCACAGACAAAAAAAAAGAAGAAAAAACGCAGCTGACCTTTACAACCGTCTGTGGATCTGTTGCAGTGTTGTTAAAAAATAAGGCCGGTTCAAACAGAATTCTCGCTTTTGCCTTGCCACAAGAAAATTGGTGGGGAAGCTAAAATGCGGGCAGTGGCGTGTCAAGAACAAGAGAGAAAAAAAAAAAGGCGCATATTTCCATAAGAACACTTACGCGACGGCAAGACGGTGCAGCCACAGAGACACACACACACGCACACGCAAACAAACAGTGCCACGATAAAGAAAATGTCGTCCACCCTTGTGCCCACCTTGGCCCATCGCATCGAATAGATAAGAAGAGTCGAGAGACACAAACAACGCGATCAAGTTCAGCGAGTTTCAAGACGATACATACACTGATTTTAGTTCGGCCGTTGGACTGGATGTTCATTGTTCCCCCGAAATTTTATGGTTGGCCACCTCATCGTTGTGCCAGAGACCCACCACAAAGGACGCTGGTGCGATTCTTCAAAGGAACAAAAGTCAACCATTCTGCAGTGCAGTGCTCCGGATCTAGGCCTGTACGACACCGTGATGTGGTCGCTGCCGTGCTGCCAACGCATAGTGAAGTACCCCACAATGCCAGCGGCATTCCTGCAGGGCCAAAGCGCCTGACCCGGAGACCGCGACTGTGGAAAATACATGCGGAAGTTGGCAACAATTGTGTCACGGTCAATTGCCGGGCCTCTCGGACAGGGGAACCACAGTCAGTCATCTCCAAACCACCCCGGTCGTCTGAGCGGAGTGGGTGAGACACGATCCGGGGTCCTTCAGGACAAAGCAAAGAGCCCAACTGGAGACCGCTCCCCTGGCAATACCGCCGGATGCCTCAGTGTGGTGCCAGGGTCAATTGCTCCGTATTGTCGGGGAAGCCAGGAGCCAGCAATGATTCCCTCACGGGGTCGTGGTTGTTGGCGCAGGGCTGACGGCATCGACCAGCCGCGTCTTGCTGGGACACGTGCTGCCGTAAAGCGTGCGGGGTCACTGAAATTATTTGAGGCAAGAAAAGAACAAAAGCAACAACAAAAAGAAATATTCTATTTGAGGAAGTTCCCAATCTCAGAGAAAAATCAGTTGACAAGCGCATTCGCAGAAGCATGTGCAAGAATGCATAAGGATATCCGCAAACATGGAAAAACCAAGAGATGAGGTAAATCAGAAACAAACACACATATTTGAAGCTCCCACTTTTTCCCTTGTAGAGGGAGCCACCAGATCCTTAAATAAATCACAATGGGACGAGGCCAGTTATCGGAGACAAACGCACATGCAGAAAAAAAAAAAAAAAAAAAACTATAAGCGCGACAAACAATGAAAAATATGATAAAAGATATATATGTATATATATCTTAATAAAAATAACGCAGTTTCAAAAAAAAAAAAAAAAAGAAAAGTTCATTATATAAAATTGGATATCAACTGCAAGAAAAAAGTGCAAAAGTGAGCGCGCCGTAGAAGATGGACGACCAAGCAACAACCTCCAGTGCATTTAAATCCAACAAACGCTCTGAAAAGAGACCAGTTTTTTTTTTTATACCTAAGACTATGTTTACATTGATTTTCTCTTTCCGGATTATTCCTTCACATCTTCATTACACCCGTGCTTCACCTCACGCTGGCCACGCTAAAGTTAATCCGGCTCACTCATGAGGTATGCTGACAATATTTTATCCACCAGGCCTCGCAGCAGCTCCACTATTCCCACCCCACCATTCGCAAGGAAACACAACACGCCTACCCTGGCACCTCCGTCACCCCCTTCATTTACATCGCCGGGCCCGTTTCCGCCATTGTGACGCAAAAAGAGCTGAAGATAGCATCCCCCTTTTCATTCACTTGTTTCGGTAACAGAAGCGACGCAAATGTGTCGTCCTTTACGATTACGGTGTTGGTTGTTGTTGGTTCATGTTTTGTTTTTTGAGTTTCGCGACGCCAACCAATAAGTTGAGTCTGGCGCCGCTCGCTGACGAACCGATGGGCGTCAAGGACACAGGAGTGCACTTTTGAAACCGGCTTGTCTGTACCGGAAGTTCACACGCCCCCTTCCCGCCCCTCAAATCAAAAGGAAGAATGAACAGCTGGCCGTCTGGAGTGAGCGGTACAAAGAAGTGTTTGGCTCCCCACACCGCCAGAAGCATCTCGCTGCTGAACTTGTCGACCACACTGTCCAGCAGCTGCAACCGAACGCATGAGGCAAGAGTTTACCAATGTGGCAAAACCGTTCACAACAATGCAGAGGCCATTGCCATATGGCTTGACCGCATTCACTGCTGTCCCATCCTCCCCGGCCGTCACAACAAGACACTCGAACCGCCTTTTCGTGTTTGTTTTCATATCTGGTATGGATCTTCCCGCCATGGGGCGTTTGAGCTCAATGTCGTGCGTCAAGATGAGCAGAGGGCAATTCGTTCCCAAAGTCCCTCGGAAAGTTGGTGCGCCCCTTCATTGCCCTTTTTTTTTTGTGTGTGTGTTCTCTCCTTTCTGGCTGAGCTCCCTGGTGGTACATGTGACACCCGTGGAAGCTGCTTGAGACACCCTCATCCTGCGCTGAAGCAAAACCTCTCCGCTGTGTCCAAGATCCGCTGAGGGCGTCAATATCTCCGTCTTCTCACCATCCACAACCCCGCGGTAAGGCAGCAGGCCAAACCCAGCGGACATCAAATTCATGGTTGCCAAGACAACATCCCCATCGGCTTCCCTGCTGCGCTGATGCACGGTCGCCACAACACTCGCGTTCCTTTTGTTCATCTCCCTCCCGATGCGGCTCAGCTCGCTGAAACACCGAGCAAATTGATACATTGGTCGTGTTGAATTCCAACAGACGTACCTAACTAGCCGCATGCAAAGGTAAGGAGTAAAGCAACAGTATCACTTATTGCTGCGAAACAGTTGCTTTGAAAAAAACAACTTATAATTTTGTCAACTCCCAAATTTGCCCGCAGTCACGCGTCGTGTTTCTGCGCTTCCGGCCGCCCGCGGTTCGCCAAATAGTAACTCGTTAAAGACTATTCTGACATGACTCTGAACACCAGCGTATTGGCATTTTCCGGCTCCTCCAGCAGCTGTTTCAAGTCCTTAATGACTTTTTTCAAGGAAGCAAGCAAATCCATGGCTATTTGTGTTGGATTCTTGTGCCTTTTTATTCAATTCAACCTGATGCGCCTCAACTGCCTCAATAAAATGAAGTACGCTGCCGCTGTGTGGGGATTTATTCGTCATCTTTCCAATCTCCTCTGCGTGCCGCAGCATTTCCTCACAAATGATGTTCGTTTCATATATGCAGAGAGCGTGGACTGAAATGCAGGGTCCGTTAATGGCGCAACAAAGAGGCTCGGCAGTTTTGGCCGCACACCTCCGCACCACGTCCACAAAAGGTATTGTCCCGTCTTCTGAAATGGCAATCGTTAGCGAAGAAAGAAGTACATCCCTCTCCTTCCTGTCCCATTGCCTCAACAGCAATGTCCCGAGAATAAGCCGATCCACGTCGGTCCTCTTGTCGTTGGCGGTTTTCATGTGCCTTTCGCAGTCTTCGGCCGTCTTGATATCCACGGCGGTGGTGTCGAGAACTATCGAACCCAAAATGGGGGAGCGTCCAAACAAAATTGCCGGCCCGGCAGTTGTCGGGGTGTTCGAAGAGAGTAGATCTCGTACGTTATTCCCGTGCAAAGAATCCAGGGTCAACGACATGAAAACCTGCCTATCCGCACTCTTCTCGCGCGCCTCGAGCCGCGCTACAATAAGCTTCAGCGTCGACAGCACCAGTCTGTCCGGTGCCGCTGGCGCCCTTGCGTCCCATGAGACCAGAAGTGCTGCATTGTGACCAAGCAAAAAACCGTCGACCATATTGGAGACGAGATTTGACTGAATCTCTCTCTTACTTTCTCCGTCCGTAATTATGACCTCGTCTGGAGTGTACTTCATCTGCTTCAACGTGATGGTATCGCCATCAACCTTCAATGCGGCGCTTGCAGTCGTCAGGTCCTCGTCCTTCTCGACAAGCACAAGCGTCTTTATGCGGGTGTCTTTCTCTTCTGCCGGAGATTGGGAGGCCCATACAATCGATTCCAATTCATCCAAGTCAGACAACGTCACCTCCATCTTCGTCTCACCGCCCCCTGTGCTAAAAACAGGCTCACTCTCAGCACATCTTCCTGGAAAAAAGATCTTAACAGACTCAGGGGAGAGATTCTCCCAAATCGACTGTGATTCTGGACTTATTTGCGTCGGGGTATTCGGGGGGCTTGCTGGAGCAGAAAGGGAACCGGGTTCATCATTTTTATCGCTCATTAACCGGATGGTTGAACTCCCATAACCAAGATTCGACGGAAAAGTGAAGGAGTAAGGAACTTGCAAATTGACCACCACGCCAAGCTCCGTGTGTGGCCGATGCGTGGAGCCATAAGAGCCCCCCATACCATAAAAGGGGCCGTACGAACCCCTCAAACCGTACACAAGGCCCGTTGGGGAACCATCAACCATTTCCAACTGCGGTCCATATTCCAAATCCATCTCTTGTATGTTGTCCATAGGTCCAAAGGCAAAATAATTTCCCACGTTGTTCTCATAGATGCTCTCATACCCATTCTCATAAAGATCTCCATTCTCTAAACGGCCCATGCGACCTGTCTCACCGCCCCAAGCATAGTAGTTACCATTGCGTGCCAGAATGGGCGGGAAGAAGCCGTTTGTCGAGGTGCCGGAGCTTTTTTCCTCTCTTCGCATGCGGTTAGGATCCGAAAATAGGGAGCCTTCTTTTCCCCATGCAGAAATCCGTGGATGAATTGCCGCTCCTCTACAAAACGGAGCCGTAGCGTTGCCCTTATGCCCCTCTCCCCACAGTGATGGAGTCAGTCTTTGGCCACACGTTCCGCCCTGCGCGCCCGTCCTCTTCCTCTTCCTTTTTTTTTTTTTTTTTTTTTTTTTGAGCCACCACAAAAAAAGAAAAAAAAAAAAAAGAAAAAACGCATATAACACCGAAAGCAAGCAAGTGTGTGTGTGCCTGTGTGTGTACGCGAAGAAAAAGGCGTGTGAGAGCCAGTAGTTATTGAAATAAAAAGGATGTACACATACCCCAGAAGAAAGAAAAAAAATAATAATAATAATAATGTCAAAATAATTTCTGGGTAAAAATAAATAAATAAAATAAAATAAAATAAAATAAAAATAAAAAGAAAATAACAATGATATTAATAGTAATAATAATAAAAATAATAATAATACGATGACCAATCCCTATACACATGCTAGAAGAGGTAGAAGAAGTCAAGCCGAGAACACCGCCAAAGGCGTCAGGACAATTGCCTGCATACACATAAAAATAAAAAAATAAAAATAAATAAATAAATAAAAAATAAATAAAAAATGCTTCCCAACAAATATAAACATAGGAAAAGAGAAAAAAAAAAAAAATAATAATTGACAAAAAAAAGAATGTCGCACTATTCCTCAACACTTTTGGGACAACATCTGCAATGGCGAGAAGTCGTCACCAACCCACATAAAACGGGGAAATGGGATATACACACATAAATATATATATATATCCACTCTGATCGAGTTCACCCAGTGGCACCAGCGATATGACGTCTGTACGGCTGGAGACCTCTCCCACAGGAGGCTCTATTTGCGTGAGGATCCCCTGCCTTTCATACCCGTATGCCACAAGAATGGAGTTTTGCACAAAAAAAAAAAAAACAATATATATATATATATATATATATATGTATGGAACAACAAATTTATAAATATAAACACGTACCCTTCATTTTTTTCTTTTCTCACTTTTTTCTCCCCTCACTAAAAATAATAAATATTAAAAAAGGAAAACGTAAAGAAACACTGCCCATTCTTTTCTCCTTTCAGTCACGTTGCAAAGGTTCGTGCACCGTGACACATATAAGCATCGGCAATGGCCTTTCCTCTTCGGTAATTGGTGTCTCTTTTTTTTTTTTTTTTTTTTGTTATTACCACTCATTTCTGCGAGAAAAATACATATAAATTGCATATAAATAAATAAACAAAAATCATGCATTACATTTAAAAAAATCTAACACTAATTCTTCATTTTTTGCGCTGTACGCAAAAAATCTGGCTTCTGACGTCCTCCACTATATGCGTTGTTACGCGCCGGGTAAAAAAAAATACACATTATGCGCATTTTGCGCGGATTTCTCAATGGCACCCAGCATAATAATAAAAAAAAAGTCAATTTAACCAACTCACCTAAGCAAATAAAGAAATAGCCACTGAGCAAACGCACCCCAACAATACTGAACCACAATATAAACATGTATATATATATATATATATACTTCGGCTGTTTTTGTTTTTGTTTTTGTTTTTGTTCATCATAAATATTTTATACATTCGCACAAATGAAAAAAATAATAATATTAATATTAATATCAATAATAATAATAATAAGAGATCTCGAGGCAGATTGGACAATCAATACATCCCTTATGGCGCCTAAAACTTTTCATTTGCCGCTTCTTCAGTGTGTTTGCTTGTAGACTTTGGGTAACCGACCTTTTGGATCACGCAGCATCTCCTCCGCGTCCTTAAGCACCAATTCAAGGTTTGCGTTACTGTTGGCAAGCCGCTCCTTATCAGCCCCCGTCGCATTCTTCAGACGCATTTGCATCTGCGTCTGGGCCCTCGTTGAAAACATCACAAAGCGCCGCAGTCCGCCATCACGCACAGTGGGGTTTGAGGTCCCATGTACACTCTTCGCCAGCCCGCCAAAATCCGTGGCCGCGTCTGTGGCAGCCGTGTTAGCCACCAGGCCAAGGGAAACAACCGTGATACATGGACCGCCGAGCGCATAGTGGAGTAACCCGCGCTCCTTCGGACGTACCTCCAGCGCCTTGCTGTAAAACTTCGCGTTGTTCCCCGCCAGGACAGTAAGAAAAGAGGAAAGAATTACATCATCCGATTTTCGCGCCTTGTAAACAAATAGGCTGACAAGCACAGCCTTATCGGCCTCGCAGACGCTGACACTTTTCTTCAGATTTGCCAGAAGTTCAGCAGCGCTATTTCCAAGTTCCATCTTGGCACCTGAAATACACGGGCCAAAGAGGGGCGAGGAGGCGTAAGAAAGTGATTCATAGTCCGCCCCAT